AATTGAGTGGGAAAACTAACAAGCAGCTGATAGCTGAAAATCCCCCTTTGACCTTTGGAAGAGAACAAACGCCTCCATTTCATCCACATGTGAGGGGAATAAAGCAACGACACACCACTGCTAGATTTAGCTGGTCTGTATTTGGGTGTGCTCTTACCAAAGGCAAGATTAATCTGAAATTTGTTAACTCACTTAATGCTTGAGTTATTTTGCAGTGCATCCCATAGTACTTCTAAAGAGTTCTTTGTGACTTTGAATTATAGTCTCAACAGGTGGTCAGTAAGGCTGAGTATGAGCTGGAAGCAGTTCTTGTTGGGGTGTGTGAGTAGTGCTGTAGTGATATTTGAGAACCTGGAATGAATGGGAGCTGTTAGTACATGGTGTTATTCTTGCTTTTAAGGTTTTTAAAGTAAGTTCTCAAAGTGCTACGTAAGGTATAACAAAGGTGTAAAGGGCAGAATGCCTTTAGGTTTTCTTTCTCCTGTTTTTTGTTGTTGTTTGTTTTGTTTTGTGTGTGGGTTTTGTTTTTTTTTTTTTTTTTTTTTCCTTCTGTGGCCAAATACAAACGCATGGGGGTTTACAGACAGTTTGGAGTGGCTAGGAATCAAAGAATCTTAGAATGGCCTGGGTTGAAAAGGACCACAATGATCATCTGGTTTCAACTGCCCAGCTATGTGCAGGGTCACCAACCACTAGATCAGGCTATCTAGAGAAGGAGTGGTTCCACTGAAATGCCACAGTGCAGCCTTCTGCTGCCCTGCTTCCAAGGCTTTGTACCATCCCCAGTGCTTGTATGACCATTACCTCATAGGCTGTGTTGCTGTCACTGCAGAGTGACCATGGAGCCCTGTGCTGAGTTGAGAGAAGGGTTGAAAATGGGAAGAGATGGGCAGGGCAAAACTTTTCTTTTTTGTAGTGATGCAAAAAAAGTAAATAATAATAATAATAAAAAATAATTCAAGAGTTGCTTTCTGATAACTCATGGCTAAATGTGTTGCAGCAATTCTTTAGTTCAGTCATTCATAATGGGAACAGCAATGCAGGACATTCTTTCACTTGTTTGTTGTTGCATTTTTTTTACCCTTAAATTCCATTTAATGGAAGAATTTGAAGAGATTGCATATTTTCATTCTGAAAATGATTTCTCATACAAATTGCTGTGCAAGAAGTAGATGCTGAAATGGGAGAATTGCATCTTTGGTTCCAATTTGGCCCATTGGCTTCGAAGAGTTTATTACTTCCAAGCTTTTGTTCTTGCGGTTTTAATCAATATTTGTTTGAAACATCATACTTATTTTTTACGTAGTAAGCAACTTATGCTAAATAAGGAGATAAGCGTAGGAATCTTTTCTATTAAGGAATATAAAGCAATCCTTGTATTGCTGACTTGTAATTTCAAGTTAGTTTTACTATACGCATTTTCAGGGGAGGAGAGAAAGTAGTGGAGAAGCATAACCAGGCAAGAAAAGCAGGATGTTTCTGCCTGGCATTTGCTACTGAATGTCATTGGAAACACTTGTGCCTGTCCAATATTCACACCATGGTGGGTTAGAAAATGCCAGGTGTCAGAGGAGGGCAGGCAGGCTTTGCCCGGTAAGAAGGGGAGCATCCTGCTTGGTATGGGCGCAAATGATCACGTTTGGTTAAAGGCAGAAATGAGGTGGACTTGTGACAGGTTTGGCTTGTGCCACTCTAAATTCTACTTCATGCTGTTTGTTCACACAGGAGATGAACTGGTTTCCTTATCTTTTTCGCCCTGTCTGCACGCCATCAGGAGATGGGCTCAGAAAATGCTCCCTGTGCTGATTCACATCAACTGTTAAAGCAGAGACTTTTGAGTAGATGTTGAATTAGTGTATACGTAATATCCTTTCAGGAAGGCATGCCTTCATAAATACCTCATTGCACATCTACACTGCAAGGCTGCAGTTTCCTTTGGCTCTCTTCTATCTTGTCAGTACCACTTTAAGTTGGATTTTAAGAACTGCCAGCATGCAAATCAGGTTTGGGTGATGCTTGGCAGCAGCCCAGGCCATGAGGCTATCAGGGGCAGCCCTATGGGCAGCAAGGTCACCGAGTAGAGGAACTTCCTTGTAAATTAATGCATACCATGTCATCTTCATCATTCAAATCCGAATCCCTTAGGCCAAGTGTAACCCTTAGCTTTCTTGCTGTGATAGTATATCCCCTTTTTGCATCAATAAATGTAACAGCACTCAAAAGTTAACATCTGTATGCTCTAGTTTCTCTCTTTGGCTGTACTTTTACCTGGAGGTAATCCAAAGATGAAGTGAATTTTGTTTTGCGGGCCTCTTCCTGCATCTCATAAATGCTGCTTGAGAGGGTTGTGTGACCATTAAGAAAAGGATTGCTCCACTCATTTCTTATCTCGCTGTTCTTCAGGCATCCAGCTCACAGACACAGTACGATTATTTGATCATACAAACGAAGTACGAAACCAGCCAGAGCTGGGTAGCACTACGCATTTGGTTTGTGTTTTCTATGTTATTAAACAACTTCAGCACTTCTCTGTGCACGCTGAGGGTTCATTAGGCTCCGCATCATGCAAGAATCTGAAGAGTTTGAAGAAGTCTCTGCAGGAGCAGACTTAAGGGCAAGGTCGTGCCCACCACTGATGCTTCTTGAGTCTCAGCCCATGAGACCACAGGAAAAAAAAAAGTAATCCTATCGTGTAGGGGAGTACAGGCAGACAGATAAAAAGTATTTGAAAGGCTACTGTGTAAATATTTATTGACAATTATCCTTTCTCTGCGATAGGTGTCATAAATCATTTGCGACTTCTGGAGTTTATACTCAAAAAGTTTTTAGTGCACTGTCATGTTATCTCTTTCTGACAGGTTTAGATTCTCCAGAACTTGAATCGGCTTAAACAAATAAAAATTAGAAAGCAAACCCCACCCCTTCACTCCCTGACTGAGCTTTTTCCTTCATGGCAGTTGTACCTGGTTGCTTCCTCTGTTTTTGTGTGTACCTTTTCAATTTTTGTAGCACAAAAAGTTTCTTCCTTTTATAAACTCTTTATGATGCTGTAGAGAAGACACACGTAAGGCCAGCAGGGTAGTTTGATGTGTACTGGTAGCTTTCTAAAATTCAAATGGGAAACTTGATCGGTATTTCAAAAATATAATTTAAAATATTTGTGAGCCTTTTCGAAAGCAGGCTTTAAATGTTATTAGTGGCTAGCATCCTAGCTTGAGCCATGATTTAATTTCTTGCTCGCATGTGAAGAAGCCATTTGCCTTCCTCTTGCCCTTGGACTTTTTAATCACCACAGTTAGATCCGAGAAATCTTCAGACCCTAAATGCTTTATTTAAGCGAACAAATTGCAGGGGTAGACTGGTGAGAGAGAAGAGCGAGAGAACAAAATCTTGGCAGAGCAAGCAGCTATACTTATCAGAAAAAAATGCAGCTTCCTTATAGGCTTTGGTTCTGAACAATGTGAGGTTTGATTTAGTTGATCAGCAAAGAGACGAGGCCAAACAAAGGCCACTTTGTCGTGCCTGAATTTCAGAAATATATCCACATCACAATGGCATGCAGTGCAGTTTTTCATATGTTTTTTTGGCTGAAACTGGGTTTTGGGATAGGAACACAAGTTGGCAAAAACAGCTTCCTTGCTCAGAGAAGAATAACTTCTGTTGATCAGAGATTTTTTTGGAGAGATTTTTAATTAGACCAATGCTGTGAAAGCTGCAGAGCCAAGGGAGTTCAAAACAGATATGTAAAGTACTTTACAGTTCCTCATATTTTATCATCATTTCAAAGTCAGCAGGGAGCTAAGCCTCAAAATGATGCTATGGCTTAACTCTGTATATTTGTTGTTCTATTCCTGCCAAGCTTGAGTCACTGTGGCCACCTAGCCCCTTCATAAGAGATTAAAATGATGGAAAGATGGAATCATTTCTGCAATTATATGAGTGAATGTTTCTATTTGAGCATGGCTTCAATTTCCCTGTGTTTCCCTGTAAGAGTGTGGGATGGATAGACCATTTTTTAAATTCCACAATGTATAGCTGTGGAGCTTGAGTAGACATAAGTGACTGAGTCTCAGGCAGTCACCACAGGTGGGAGCTACATGGTAAGGGGGACTTTAGTCTCTGCTTGGGTTCGAAGCCTGGTCCAGATTTGATGCTAAGAGCGTTATCAGGTACTGAAATGTGCTGCCCGGGGAAGTGTTAGATTCACCATCCCTGGAGGTATTTAAGATACACATGGACGGGACATCTGAGGACATGGTTTAGTGATGGGACTTGGTAGTCATCTTGGTGGTTGGAATTGAATGACCTTGATGGTCCATTTCATCGTAGGTGATTCTGTGGTTGCATGAGTGGAAGCACTGCACTTTCCATGCTTTCTTGCACATATGGCGTAGACCAAACAGTGAACTTACACCTGCAGTTTGTTGATTTGCCATCACGCTGGCCAATATGCTCTTTCAGGAGCTAACTTCTACTAACAGGCCCTGAGCCTGAGGGTTTGGGGTGGAAAAGAGGTATCTGGAATAGAAATTTATTTCTGTGCAAGAGATCAGCATAGAACCTAGGCACTCGTTAAATCCATTTCAGCAATGGAATTTCTGTCATCTTCTGATGTATAAATACCCAAATGTTTCCAAGGGAGTTACAGGCTGTTTTAGAACTCCTGTGTATGTAGATTTTAGTGCAAAGCATATGGACTTGCTTTTTCCAGTCAGCTTTCAAGTCTGTGGACTCCCTGGGCCCATGGGCATTGTGTTCAAGACTTCTATCTTAATCCCTGTTTTGAGAGAGGAAGTAGAGCATTAGCAATGCACAAACTGACTCTGCATGGAGACAAGTTTTAATTCCTGTTGTACATAAAAAACATCTGAAGGGCGGGGGGGTAGATATGTTTGCCTTTGCAGCTGTTGGCAGCAGAGAAATGCAGCAAGACTTGATTGAAAACACCTATCTTAGTGTTTTACTAACTGCATATTTTTTTTTTCCATTCTTGTTTCTAGGTCACAGATTCTGGATACTGGCTGTGGGATTTTTTTATTATTATTTTTATTATTTTTGATTGGCTTTTTCTCCCTTCTTGGATGTGAGTTGAAGGCCAACAGCTGAAGTGTTGAAAACCAGTGCAGAAGGACACTCACCTTGTTTTGTTTGAACCCTTGTTTGCTGGGATACTTTCAAGCCCTCCTTCACAGTCATGTGGTCATCACAGCTGCTGTTCTTCACAATGCTCTTAACACCGTTAGCCCATGGTGAGTGAGGGATGGGGGAATGTGACTGTGGGAAGGGAAGGAGAATGGAAAATTGCCAAGACGTTGTCTCTTCTGCCTAATGCTTGTGGTTTTTTTCCAGGGTCTTGATTTCTTTCCCCACTTCCCACCCAGGTCTTTGAGTTCTTGTGTTACTGTGTGACTAATTAAGTCATGAAACAAAGAACTTTGGTCACATAACTATTTCTCTTACAAAGTTTAGTTACTGTGTTAAGGCTGACTTTCATCCTAATGCCCAAGCCTACTCGGTTGGCTATGCTGTTGGCTGTATATCACTGGAATTGTCGCTCCTGGCCTCTGTGTGAAGATGACTTCTTTTGTGAATGCTATTCAGTAGAATTTTGTGTATCCCCCTTCAGCCACAGCTCCATAGAACATAGGATCTTACTCACTGTCATGATATATCATGATTTCAAGCACCACAGTGCACATTTTCATGCACTCCTATACCCAATGTGACCCTGAGTCTGGAAGAACCTAAACCAGTATATTTGTCTTTAGCTTGGCACACTGCGTAACCCACCTGGCAACAAGAGGTCATCAGCTGTAGCACCATGCTGATGCAAGTAGGCAGTATGTGAGAGATGAGCTAATGTTATCAGACATCACTGCTGTGCTGTGGGGATGTATTAGCTTCAGAGTCTGTGTGCAGCACACTATTGCCTACAGTGTCCATTATGTTTTCTTAAGTGGAAAAATTTGGTCTTTTTATTAGCCATGAAAATTGAAATCTGACACATTTAATTCTTAGGGATAAGACTTCAAGAAGTAAATTGCTAGATTTCTGAAGAGCCAGAAGGGTTCGGGAGCTCCTGTTCTCAGTAATGGTTGCTAAATTATGAGGGCTGAGCTCTGAAAGATTTGGCTGCTCCCTGATGCCCCAATGAAACATGAGCTTTGAGAATCCTATTTTAATTGCAGGTCTGTGGGAGCCTGTTTGTAAATGAGGCGACTCCCTTCGTGGATCTTGTGCACCTCTGCTTTGAAAATACTCCAGTCTTTTTGTGCTTAGCATCCAGTGTGTGTGTGCTAAGACTCAAGTGAAATTTTACAGCAGAGGGAAAAAAAAAGAAAAGAAAAAAATTGCATGTATGAATGTATCTATTTCTGGAGCATGGCCTGTCTGCTTATATCACTTATAACACTTTTGTGCACAAAGGTTATCTCTACTATCGTTCCTTAAGCAAAGCTCCTCACTAACTTGAAAATTAGAATGAATAATTAAACTGAGCAAACCAATTGGGGTGGAATGGAAAGAGCTATTAGGAAAAGGTGCTCTCCATTCTTCTCTTGGAAAGTTAACTGGTGAATGTTTTGTGAATCTTTATAATGAAATAATATTAACAGTTAAACAGTTGACAATTTGAATATGCCTCTGGCAGTTCTGTTTTTAATTCACGGTGCCACTGCAGCTGGAAAATCCTGCGTGATAGTCTGTGTAAATAAAAATGTATAAAAATGTCACAAGTATCTTAAGAGTCACATGGTGCTAAAGGCAAGCAAACGTTACAGATGTAGAAACTAGATGCCTGAAAAAATGTCGGCAGCGGTACCCTTTATGCTTTTTTACAAAGTAGGTGCCTGGGGTGGCTGCTATGTGTGTTCTTAGTCAGTGGTGGTAAATCTGACCCTTATGTTATCTCATCCCTGTAAATCACTAGTAAGAGTGTAGCAGAGGCTTCCAGCAATTTTTGAGCAGTCAAGAGTGAAGACCTTTGCTCTCGGAATCGAATCTGTCTCTCCTTCTTTTATTGACCAAGATGTGGTTACCATCCCTAAACTTTTTTGTGCTGCTTTTCTTGGAGGAAGTGAGTAGAATATTTGATTATTCAGGTATGGTACACTTCTGATGCTAAACAAAGGGAGAAAACTGCAGTGTAGTTGTGTCATGTAGTAAGATTATGTTTGGTATCAGCTTCACTGAGCAGACTGAACATTCAGTCTCCTGTGAGGGATGAGGAACGTGCATGTTACAGTGAGAGTGGTACTAGAGGTTGGAAAACATAGGCTGGCAGCACTTCCAAGGCTTTGAAATTAGACACAAAGTGTATGATGGTTTTAAGGTACTCTTGTTTGCTGCCTCTCGTCCTGTAAATGCTCACAAAATGCTGCCTGAAGTGGATGGCAAGGCAGTATCAGTGCAGTTTCTCCTGCTGTAGCCTTAAGGCAGTATGCATGGGTTTAAACACATGCCACAACTTACCTTGCATATAAAGATTGCTTAATTTTAATTAATTTTAATTGCTTAATTATTCCCTTCTAATGATCCACTCTTATTATACATAGAAAGATTTTGTATTTTGTTTAACAGGATTCTAACAGGAACTGTAACTGTTCTTTTCCTGAAGTGATTACCAGAGTAGATACAAACTGCTTTTGTAGTTCGTGGCTTGCTACATCTCTTGGGCTGTTTGAGTTTCCCAGTGCAGCCTGTTCATCTGTAAAGGTAGTTATGTGCTCAGTCTCTTAGTCTGATGATTCCATGCATTTGTTGATTTAGGGCTTTGTTTTGTTTGGGAGTTTGTGTGTCTTTTTTAGCCAACAGTTTTTTTGGGAGTATACTGTGACTTGGGTTACAGTGAAAAGTATGGAATTGATGACTATTTGACTTAAGCCATCAGGAGGATAAGCAGTTTTTCAGCATACTGCCCTGCTTCACTCTTGTCTTGTTCTGCAGAGGTAATGAAAGAGGAACAAGCCTTGAATTTTTGTAGTTTCTTGGTGATGGTGTTAATCTGAAAAGCGTGGGTGCTGTGATGTGCCCAGATTTACTCTGAATCATAGTTCATAAACAGCTGAGTCCATGCGTTCTTAAGATCAGTAGCTTCCTTTACTGTTGCTGCGCATTTTGACTGAAAATAGCTTTTTGTAGATGGGCCACTGCAGAGGCCCCAGGAATCCATCTTTTAAGCTCCAACGAAGCCTGTCGACTCATCTGTTGGATAAAACGAAACCTGTTATTAAAAAGAACTAGACAATTAGATTAAAAACAACAAAGCCAGGAATAAAAATAAAAATAAGCCCACTGGCACCAGAAGCAACAACAACAAAAACACAAAAAAACAACCAACAAGTGGAAAAGGCTCTGCAGCATGCTGAACTTTTGCACTCCCTAATTCCCTTCTGCCCAATTGAAGGCTGCTTCTAAAGCATCCAAAAACCTGGGCTCTCACAAAAGTTCTGCTTGGCTTGCATCCCCCTCATGTGCACCTGAACACGCTCATCCTCTTTGCTTGCCATGTGTAGATTTCCCACAGGCATTTTCTGGAATGAGCAGCTGTTCTCATCTCCTTTAGCCTTCCTCCCTTTGACCCCAAACAGGGCAGGTTTCTCCTTAACCCACAAATGTGAGTTGTCAAAGTTCACCCGAAATGAGATAGACGTGACATGCAACAGTTCAGCTTGAGAGCTTTGGGAGACATACACCTGCTCTGTCACATTGCTTTCATGCTCGTGTGACTGAGAGTTGGGATTTAGAACTTCCGGGCTGCTGGACAAAAAAAAGTTACTATAGTGATACAGCTTTGAGGTGAAATGTTTTGTTTTCCAGCAAGTAACTTAGTTTAGGATTTAAAAGAGTACTGAAGGCCTGTTGTGTCCAGAGGTCTTTTCTCATTGGATTGTTTTATTTTTTGGTTAGTTTTAGGGATTATATTGTGTGTGGTTTCTTGATGAACAGGTGCAAGATGCTGTATGTAAGGATCAAAGGATGGCTTTTGGGATCACTCTAATGCTTTAGCTGTCTAATCTGAAATAGAACTATCGCTTATTACTCCAATTGAAGAAATAACTCAAATTACTTGGTTTCTCTTGAGGGTCCTTACAAATGCAGTAAAATCAATGGGCACAACTATCTGCCCGCTTCTTCTGCTGCTAAGCTCTTTCCCTGCCAGTGCTTTATGAGAGAGAGCCATCAGCCTCCAGTTTCCTGCATAGGCAAAACCCAGTGTCAGTGGTGGGGATTTCAGCTTTTTTAACACTTTGTTAACAAGTTACGTGCTTTTCTCTTCAAAGAGAATTAGTTATTAATCTCTTTCTCCACATAAAACTTAGGTTTGGGGGAAGGAATAGAACCATACACTTGTCCAAAGCTAGACGAGACTGAAATGAGAAAAGTTGGGTGATAATCTAACCAAAAGCAAGTATGTTTTTGCAGAACGATCAATACATCTCTGACACTGGTGTGGTTCTGCTGTTACAGCCTGAATAACCACTGCAGTGGTCTCCTGATTGTGGAATAAGATGCAGGTGTAGCTGAGGTTTTTTAGGTGACTGTGGAGATGGAGTTAAATTCAAGCTGAAGTATTTTCAATTTGGACAAAGTGTGATAAGTCTCAGAGCCTGTATTGTTAGGAGACCTCAGGCCTGCTACTAACACTTGACAGCACCCAACTGGCTTGCCTACAGTTGCTGCTGGTCCAACTCTGAATTTCCAAAAAACAAGTTGCCTCTGAGACCTTCTTTATGCAGAGTTGTAGCATAGCTTTGAAGTGACCTTCCTGCATCTAGGATAGATGCCATCTTGTCTCTCCACAGGAGAATTGTTTCACATGGGAATGAAATAATTTGTTTTCAAAAATTCATTTTTTACTTTGCATCTTCTCAAGCCATTGTAGCTGAAAGCAAGAGGGCTTTGTCTGCTGTACTTTTGTGACCCTCGGTGTTCGTGCAGCACTGTCCCAATATTTCTTGGAGATGCTCATGGTGAGGGACAGCTGTGTCTTTGCAAGGAAATCGCTCTGGAAGGTCAAACTGATCTCTCTAGGCACAAGCAGGTTGAGATGCTGAGCTGGTTTCTGTGGGAACAGTGAAAATATTTATTACTGAGCAGCACTTGTTGTTGCTTGGTGACAATGATTCTGTTAAAGCAAGCAGCATTATCTTTCTTGGGGGAATATATGATGCTAGCAAGCTGGTACTTGTGACAGAGTGCTGTTTAATGTGAGCTGAACATTTGCTTCACTACTATTTTAATACGGTGA